TCACCAGATGAGGCAAAAGATCTTAAACAGCAGACAGGATGGAGACTGTTGCTCAACAGTGCCATCTTGTGGTGATAAAGCATAGGCCATCCAAGAATCGTAATCTCACGTTGAATATTTATTGGAATGTTTTTCAGTTTTTTAACGTGCAGTTATGACTTCAAGTGCAAATACTTTCAAAATTAAAGAAAAAAAATCAACACATTAATCCAGAAGTAAAAAGAGCAGAGGTGTTGTTTGGTTATTTTTTGGTGATAGAGGCAAAGCAACACACTGAGATGATAGAAAAGTGCATAAAGTGTGAAATTAAAGTGTCTCTGTTTTTTCAGATCTTACTAACGATCCTGACTGACCGCAGCTGCTAGTTTCTCTGTGATTTCTTTTGACGCCATCATCAAGTCAGTTTCTTAAAGGCGTGCCGCTTCCTTTCACAGTTTTCTTCAAGTGGTGATAGTTGGGAAGGATCTTCATGAGGAAGTCAAGCTGCAGGGTCTGTGGCTGTGAAATGAAACAATTGCTGTTTTCAGAACCTCAACACAAAGCCAACAAGACCTTCCCCTGCCTGAACTGAAGAGGTACAGACCTGCGGCTTTTCACTCTGCAAGCGCCTGATGCAGCTTGAGCCGTAAACTACCGTGTTCTCGGGCACGACTTCGCACGTGTTCACCTGGCAGCATGCCCCGACGATGCAGCCGCTGGTCAGTATCACGTTTCTTCCCACATCAGCTGTGGTTAAATAACAAAAAAAAAATGGAAAAAGCATCTCCAGAAAATCAATAGAAAGTAAGATAATTAGTCTTGTCCAGTTATTGTTGTCAGAATTAAGATTTTTCTGTACTGGCTAATTACATGTGATTTTTTTTTTTATCTAGAGTTTTAAAGCGGCCAGGTATCGTGTCAGGTTTTCACAGGATTTGCTGCCTATTGTCTTCAAGACATAACTTTCAGATAATCTTTATCTGTTGTGTGTAATTTATTTAGGATGTTCACACTCATGATCATTAATGAGTGCTGCACAGAAAATGGGTAGCAAAAAAAAAAAACCTGTTGAAAGAAGACAAGGAAGTCTTGGAAACAAGCAGAAAACTTAAGCAGAATTTATGCACACATTTTTACCTCATGCCTATCCAAGTATCCTATCAAATATTTTATAGTAAATTATATTTCTTCTCTGCATCTGTCAGGGTTTTTTTTACACCGTCACAGTCCAGTGAGAACTCGTATATCTGTTGTTGAGCAACTTTTGTAGCTGCTAAGCTACAGAATCAAGCTTGGAGTGGCCTGAAAAGTTCAATCGTTGGACAACTGACCTTCTTCTCTATGTTTGCTAAATCTCCTACATGGCATAGACCAAACAGCACATGGGACATTTCTTGTCCTTCTTCGTTTCTGTCTTGCAAAAAGGCCAAGTTTGATTTACTGTTGCCAAATAGAAGAGGCTGTAAATGCTTTCCACACTTTTCAGATTTAGATTTCTTCCGCTTCGCAACACTGCACTTCTTTGTGTCGGTCTATCACCTGAAACTATGATGTTTGTGATTGTAAAGTGACAAAATGTGAAGAGTTCCTGAAGGGACACGAATCCTTTTCAAAGCACTGAAAGGGGTTTAGCGATGGTTGACTGGCAGGCCTTGACAAAACGATATGAAATCAATACTCACCCTTGGACTCAATCACATTGTTATCTCCGATTTTCAAAGCTTGGGATACTGAGACAGAGTGAAGAATTTTAAACAGGAAACATTAACAAAATAGACACTTTTTTTAGCTCTCTGGAGACTCCTGGTGGATTATTTCTGAATTAGCAGCAGTTGAAAGTTTTTTGGAGGGAGAGGGGGATTTCTGTACAGTTAACTGGGTCACTAACAAATGCATGATGGATTAATTAAAGACTAACTATACCGGAACTGTAAAGGATACCGCACCCCACTTCAAACACATTATTGGCACCAATGATCATCGTTTTGGGCTCAACCCCCTCCGAGTCTGGCATCATATTCTCAGGGTAACTGCGGACACAACGCAGATTAAAACCCTTGGACGAATTAAAAGATTTAAATTTCAAGCACATTCACACACGCACCGACCTGTTAATGATGAGAGCCTGCTCCTCTATTAGATTCCCCTCCCCAATTATAACGGGCCCCGCCTCGGCTATGATCCGAGCTTTTGGGTGGACGACTGTTCTGCCACCTGAGAGAGAGAGAGAGAAAAATAAATAGGCTAAATAAATAAATAAATGTTGGTACAAACTATGACGATTGGAGTAAAGACGAAGCAAATATGTGTCAAAATAATAATAATAAAAAAGGCTCACCGATGGTGACGTCTCCTCTTATTTCACTCTCAACGCACACAACAGCTCCAGCTGCTATTTTAGCACTAAAACACAGTTCATACATGAAACAAAAAAATCAATGTCAACGTAATTGTAAGGAGAAACACATCACGGTTCCATCATGACAATTTGTGTATATGATTTCATGTATGTATTTTTTTCCAGACAGAAATTAACACCAAATTAGTCACTACATATAAGCACATGTGAGTGAGTGGATCGGTTCATATAAATACCTTTTAGGTGCAATTATTTGCTTCGAGTCTGACATCCTTGCGACGGCGAATTGGCTGATCGGCAGTCGATTATTAATCCTTCAAAAGTCGAGCGCGGAACTTTTAGAGCTCGCTGGAAGGGTCGGTGCTTCCCCCTATCGTCATACTAACGTTACTGCAAGACCATGTTACATCTGCAGAGTATTTCATTTGGTATATTTCTGGCCATTTTGATAAATACAGCATACGGTTTAAAAAATGCAGTTCACGCTGTCAAAAAATATTAGATTATAACATCAGAACATTGACATTTTTATATATACTGTTTTGTTGTAGCCATGTTATGACCCACATAATCACAGAAAAGGTTGTTGAATGAAGAATATAAGGGTTCACAGAATTCTGTATGTTTGTTTTTATATAACATAACCTTTTTTGTATGTATATTTAATCTGAAAAAGATATAAAATATTATGCATGACTACACACTTGCTAAGTCATACAGTTTTTCTCTAAACTGTATGATTTAGTATGTTTTAGTACACCTACCAACATACTATTTGTTTTTCTCTTTGAAAGGAAAACAAACAAGCAAACAGCCAAAATTTGTGCCCGATTTCTAATAAATAACAAAGAATAGTTTGTGTCTGAAGTGGGAAGCAGTCATCATTCCATTTTAATTTTCACCAAAGTGAAAAATTATAATTGTAGTGCATACTTTAAAGCAGGACTGTGAATGATAGCTGCACAGCAAATACCGAAAGGACGCAGTGTGTTTCGTCTAAAAGACTAGACTGAAGGAAAACAAATTCTGAAAAAAAAAATAACAATCCCACCTCAAAATATATAAGCAGTCCAAAGTTAATGCCATTTGTAAGAAAACAAAAACGTCAAGCAACAAATAATTTTGGTACAAAGATAAACGAGGTTCTGGAGGTGAAAGTTTAGATTGTTGAGGTGGGGAGTCATGCCATCTGCTGGTGTAAAAAGGCATAGCAGCCCTCTACCATAACAGTGTTTCCTTCTTCTGACGAGGTTTATGGAGATGCGCATCTCACTTTGCAGCAGGTTCCCGTGACTACCACTTTAATTAGCGAAATGGCCCAGCAAATTAAATAAAACATCAGTCCACTGCTTGGTGAATGTGCTAGAACATTTGCACGTGTTTGATTTGTGATTTATTTATTTTTGAGTTATTCCACCAACTTTCCTTTTACATAACAATATATATATTTTTTAAAAGCCAAATATTGTATAATAAACAATTTGTGCAGGGTCATGTAAGTGTAAAACAAAAAGCTCAATCTTTTAAGAACTCTACTTGTACTTCAGTCCCAAGTTGAGTGTGGCTGAGCTTCCTGCAGGGTGCGACATTTCACAAAAATGGGGAAAAAAATTAAGTCTAATTTATAAATCATCACTTTTAGAGTAGCCTATTTATGAAAATGCGCAATCAGTACTGTTTGCGATTATAAATACTCCTTTTATTGTGACTTTTTATTGCGCAGGCGCGTGCGCGCGCGAGCCAGCGTGTGTTTCCAACCCGCAGCCGCTGGAAGTGAGCCACGATGATGCTTTGATGAAGCGAAACACATTTCACCGCCGCAATCCGGATGTGACCTGAGCCAGGACCTTCACAATAAAATTGATTAAAGTCGTATGATCGGATGAGACGGAGATTGAGCTGCCACAAGAACACCAATTGTCAAGCATGAGGGTGGTAGCATTATGCTATGGGTGTGTCTGGCTGTCATTTGTGCTGGTCAAAGACTACTTTCAATTTCTTCAACTTGACCTGAAATTAACAGTTGGACAATTAAATTGTGGGCATGCAACAAAAGGCCCATCATCAAAAGTGTGTTCAGTTCGGATGAAGCAGGAGGAAGGTTTTTGGAAGGGCCTTCTCAGAAGTCAGATCCAGACAAAGAAAACCCAGACTTGTATACTCAAATTTGCATGTATGTATTTTAACACTGTAGAATAAATTCAAAGTTGTGCATCAAGTTGTCTTAAAAAACTGAATGTTTGCTCTACAATCATTCCTCCAAAAAAAATTAAAAAATAAAAATCCTTGAAAAGTTAGGGCAAAATTCACAACCAGGAATTTTGGAGGGTTTGTGAAGATTTTCCCTGAGCTAAAACAAAAACCCACAAAAAAAACAGTATTACAATATTTTCATGGTTCACTATTCATGTTCTTGAAATATATCCATGGGTGTAAATCACACAAAAGGTATTTAAAGACATTTTAAGCATTTCTTTTGTAGAAGTAAAGCAATAAGTGTAAAATTAGGTAGGCTAATTGTTTTTCCAAATGTTGCGCACGTTCGATGGTTATTTTGAAATCCTGTAGAGGAAACGCTGTGCGTGATTACGTCACACTTACTGGCGGCTGAGTTTTTGAAGAGGAGCGAATGACTGGAAAGTGGATAACCGAGGTGAGCACCTGAATCTGCACACCTGCCACTCGTTAAGCGCTGATAGCCATTAACGAGCCGCCTTTAATTGACGGCTAAGACGTAGCTGGGAATGAAAACAGCTCTGGCTATGAAACGACGGGGCTCTCCTCAGCTGTTTAGACCCGAAGCGGGACTGAAATCTCGTTTGTAACAACTTTGTGGAAATATGTAACAAACAGATGAGGACGGAAAATGGAGCAGTCGGCCACCCTCAACATAGAGAACCTCAAGGTAAGATGTTAATGCATAGTATTTAATTTAAATGTGTATGTGGGATTTTTTTTTTATTTTTTAACTGGGAAAGAAAAATGTTCCAAAGGTTTTTATTTATTTATTTTTTGCTAAGTCTTTAGATAAATTACAATTTTTCACTTGAATACATTTTGTTTATAACACGCATCTAACATTTATTTACACACAATTACAAAGTCACTGCTTTAGCATTATTTTCAAATTACATGTGAATTCATTTTCTTTCCATTTCTAAATATATCCGTAATCCTTATGTCCCTTTTTATATACTTCTCTGAGTTACAAACTCCAGTTATTCACTAATCTTTTGCAACAGGTTCACCTTTCTGTTTCAGTGCGGCCATGGCATTTATTTATTTTTTTAGTTTCAATTTGATTAAAGATGAATAGCAATTGTCTCCATCTCTTCCCTCCAGGCAGGAATAAAATTAATAGTAATCAAGGTGCCTGGCCAAACATTTCAGGGAGCCTACCTGGACTTCTTCACATATCTCTCTCTTGCAGCACACCCCATGGTGTATGCACTCCCCTCTTCAAGAATCGCAGTAATGTGACAGCCTATGAATATTCCGCCTGCATGCTTTCTCATTATCATTCCACTCTAGTGAGGGGAGGCAGTAACCTCTGGGTACAGTATGTGCATCTCATCCTCCATGCTGCTGCAGTGCAAAGAAAAAGAAGAAAAGGGAGGGGAAAATAATAAGAAAAGATATATCTTGTGTGTAAAATCCACACAGCAGAGCCTCTGTTTGACTGAGCTCTCAGGTCCAGCAAGTGCACACACAAATGCACGCGCACACACACGCAGCTCTGGGCTTACTGGTTCACGCTTATCAGTCAGGAAATCACCCCAGATAAAAACCAGCTCAGAGCTGATCCAACACTTCGCCTACAAGTCTGCAAGTTTCTCTCCCGTCATGTTTTATGAACCATCCTGCTTGTTGGACTGCAGGAAGATGATTTAAGAAATAAAAAAAGTTAGACTTAATATTCACATCCAAAAAAAAAAAAAAAGGACTCTCTTGCATTACTTTCCTTGACAATGCAGCGTTCAGTATTACACATCCGCTGAGAATTTGGCCAATGAATGCAAATGACGCCTGTGCATGCTGTCCAAAAGTGGCCCTGCTGGCCTCCCTGAGGATTTCCAAGGGAATTGGTGAGCAGTAGGAGTTTACTGTGGGGAAGTGTTTGTCTGTTTACATCAGCAGTTTGTCTCTCCTCCCCTATGCAATCATCACACTAGAGGGAACTGTCAGTGCTGTAAGTGTCTGAGACTTAACAGCTCTTGACTTTAATACACAGAGGTGCACAGAAAGAATTTTTTGTGTGTGCAGAGACTTATTCTTAAAAGCCAGAAGTATTGTTCTGTCTGAATGGAAAGACCTTTCTGATGTTCAGTCTTATTGGTTTCAGGCCTTCTGCTGCAACCTTTTTGTTGTGCTGGACTTATTGGACATCACTCATCTCTGCTGGTCCGACTTGCTTTGAGTCAAAAGAAGTGCACAGCCGGCCATCTTTCCGTCCCTCTATCCATCAATCAGCCATCCACCCAGAAAGGGCACTGCCTGCCAAACGATGAAGCCATTGTGACAAACTTCAGTGATTGTCGCGCCAGCAGAGATGAAGGACCCTGAGGGGGGAAAAGAAAAGCGGGGGGAAAAGAAGAAAAATTGGATTTCACATGTAAGATGGATGAGTATTGACAGTGGTAACCTCTCCAAGCATGCTTGTCGCATCAACAAGATGTGAAAGGAGTAACATCAACGCACAAGTTGTGCACAGCAACATAACTCTTCCAGTTGCAGTTGGTTGCAATCAAGTCGCTTTGATTAGTCTGTCAAAAAGTTTTAAAAAGCCAACAGGATTTCTAAACCGCTTCATTTTTGGCAGATCTGGAGGATGATTGTCCATTTGTTGTGCGTAATCATTTGTGCACTTCAAATGCTTTCTTGCCTCCAGCTGAGGCAGCCTTGTGGGAGTCCAGCGGCGCTACTGCATGAGAGTGAGCAGGCCTCTTTGCTGATTAACATCATCAAACATTAATAACGTCCTAATTTCCTTTCATTATTTGGCTTCTTGGCTGTATTCTGCTGCCTCTGCAGTATGTCATCGCTTGATCAAAGCAGCATGCGGATCGTCATCCTCTACAATAATTGGTGAAGATGAGGTGCACTGGCAGTGTGACGGGACTGCTGGGTAATTGCTGGCTCACTGGTGGCTTTAGCTGGTTGCAGGTGCAAGTTTTTATTATCAAAACTCTTCAATATTTTCCTGAAGCAAAATGGGGAATGCTCAATCATGAGTATGATTAATGAGGCAGAGTTTTCTCAAATTGGATTGTGCAGCAAGTCCATGTGGATGTTTGCAGAGCATCACCTACAGAGATTTTATGGCTTATTCCACCTCAAAGTAGCATGGTGCTGTGTAGGTGTTTGGTTTCTAATAATAGAAAGCGTGTGTAACAAGGACTGCGGATGGTAAATCATCCGCGTGGATTGTGACCCATCTGTTCATGATGGTGTGCATGATTTTTGGGAGCTGCAGAGTTATTTCAGCAATTGTATCAAACAAAAGCTGTTGTAACTGTTTAAACTATAGCAAACTTGCATGTTTTCAGACGTGAAGCTGGTTATTACCACGTTAATAATGGTTGTAGTAAAATAGCTTTTTATAGATGAATGCCTTATTTCTATAGTGGGTTTTTTTTTCTTGCCTGAGATCAAGGCTTTGATCTTACCTGTTAAGTTATTAGAATAGAGATATTCTTTAGTGTCCCACAGTGGGGAGATTCAAATGTAACTGGAGCAATGAGGCTTCTATAAAGTCATACAATATAAAAAAGAAAATTATTAAATGTATAAAAACCTACAACAAAGTGTGTCAAATGTATAGTATGACTATTAGACAATATTATAACTTCAACACACTGTCCAGTTACCATTGGTGTCTCTTTGGAACAATCAATGACTTTACAGGGTGGCTGGATAACTTCCTGGCTCCTCCACTGATTAAAAGTAAATTTTTAACCTTCTTATTTTGATACAAAATACTTGCATAAACTTAAAGCATAATTTAGATGTATGTTTCAAGTGCTTGTTGCAAAGAATACTATATCCTTTCACTGGGCATTTCCTTAGTTTATGGCCTTGACACACAGAGAGTGACGAATATAAAAGACTGTCCAACATTTGACATGAACCCAACACACTGATACCATAGTGGTGGTATCAGTGGTCGTGACAAATGTTGAATAATTTTCAACTTTCTTGTGTTGTTTCACTCGCCTGTTTTTGTATATTTATGTGTACGAGCTCAAACTTTCACACGCACAAATTTTGCTAGTAGCTTGGCTGGATGAGAGCAAGTGATTGTCGCCTCATCACAAGTGTTCATAGGAAATGAGTGGAGATGGAGCGCTGTCACCGATGTGAGGTGAGCCTATTATTGGTCCTTTGGCTGCTTAACAGTCATGCTTGCTAAAGTCACAAAAGATCTATTGATGAGACCGACAATTTCAAATGTTTTTTTTTAGATACTTTATTGAAGTGGTGAATGATTTTACATAAAGAATGATGCAGTATGTGTATTCCTTCAGATATTTGTATCATAACTGCTAACAAGGTGTCCAATTGTTGTTGAGCTGAACTTTAACTGGTCCAGCTTCCTTGCATTGCGTTTTCTTCACATCCAAAGTATTTGAAGCATATTGCACTTCAAATGTAAAGAAAACTAATGCTTTAAATGTGGTGCACTTATTAACCATGATGTAAGTATCATTTGGGTAGAAAACCTCTCTTACACTTGCTCATTCAGCCCTCTCCTTTTTATGGTTTTAATAGACTGCAATGTCTGACATAATGAAGTAACTGATGGCTTTTCTTGATTCAATTATTTGATATGAACTAACGTTTTGGAGGCAGATTGATGTATACATTAAAAGTCTGTCTAAGAAAAAAAAAAGCTCCACTTGTTGAGTATGGTGGGTTGTCTAAATTTGCAAGTGATTGAGTTTCCCCTGGCAACAGTGCATTGAGTGAATCTAAGCAGCTGGTCAGCTGACTAAAATATTGTTTTAAAGAAATTTTTTTTTCTTGGTAAATATGCATCAGATAAAATGTTGTTTATTATGTTTAAGATTTACATTTGTCTGATAATCTTGGCAACACTCCATCTACAGAGAAGTGTGGCTGCAAAAATGACTTTTGTGATGCTAAACCTTGCGACTTTGTGTTTAGTGCCTCTGATAATACTCCTCTCCCTTCGCTGTAACACTGGTTGAATTGGAATCACTGACATTTTTAGGCCAGTGATGTGGATCATTTGTACTTGCTGCCAAGTCGCAATGTCGATTTGTGAGACATCTGCCACCACTTCCAAATGTGACCGAAGGCGTTCATCCATAGAAATGGCCTCTTTGAGAGTGAATGAAGCCTGTGGAACAGGTTTGTTTGTGTATGTATTTGACCTGAATCGGTCAAGAAGCCCATGATAACTCAGAATAACTTAGAATTGTTAGACCAAAATTAGTCAGTCAGGACTGAGGTAGATTAAAGAATATTGCCAGGTTCTTTGCTAATGTAGAAATTCAAATTTGTGCCAAGAAAACGCACAGAAGAAACATTTATACAAGCAACAGTTTGTGAAACTAGTTTCAAAGCCGCATAGTAAAGTTATGCTGAGTTTGACCTCTTGGTGAACTACTATAATGTCGGTGTGAGGCAGTAAGTGTTAATGTATCATGCTAAAAACTACAGACTTTGCACATTTTGTGTGCACAAGTTGGTCAAAATCTCTTACAGCATCAAATTCTGCAATAAATGCACCCAACGGGATACCCAACACAGATTTGTCCTGTATCACAGTTCTCATGCAAGGAGGCTGTCCAAGTACACTCAATGCTTCAAGTTTGAGTAAAAGTGCCATTCTGCTAGAGAACAACTGTTCATCCACATTAGATTCTGCTGACCACTTTAATTTTTCAGACACTAGAAGACATGACTTCTTTTTTTTTTTTTTCCTGCACACCTGCAGACTCATGCTGTGGCAGCAGCTGTCTTTCCTTTTGGATATGACACACTCATTCCAAAACCTGTATTATCTCTTAAAGTTTATAGTGGCTACAGGTTTATGACAGTCTTCTGAGTTTGATCAGGGGTGTAATATTTGGTTAAATTTCAACCTGCTGTTTTGGGTCGGGTAATAAAAGCATGTGGTGAAAACAGGGTAATTATTATTCACTTTTTTTCATATGACATAGAGCAACACTGAAATATTTCAGAGCATTTTTGATTCATTGACTTTGATTTTATTTTTAAAAAGCTAAAAATGAAGTGGGATTTATCCTACTGTAATCTGAGATGTACTTACAACAATGCTGGTTGGTATTGGTTGACCCTATTTTACTGACTAGATGTAACATTAATGCACAAAAGCTATGGATCATATGCAGTTTTTTTTTGTTTGTTTTGTTAGATCTTTAAGCTTCTGGAAATGTATATAAAAAAATTTAATTCCATTTTGACCACATTAACTAAACTTGGTGTCCCAGAGACAGTGTTAATTAGATTCATGCCTTTCTCTTTTTATTACTTCTATAATGTAACACTTGGTCAGTCAGAATAGTGAAGAATTTTACACTTGTCAAAATGCATCTGTTTCTATGAAACGATGGGCAGCCCAAGGGCTGTTTGCCTATTTCTGGCATCCACCTTTAACCACTACACCACGCACTGCCTGCACAATTCTTTCCAAAATCAGCCTCCCTCTCTGTATTTCTGGTTTTATAATGACTAAAATTCATCAACTACTCAACCCCACAAGAAATATTGATTTGTTGCAACAATACTTCCAGAGGCTGCTGTCCTGTTTGTTCTCACTTCTGAAACAGATGTTTTGTTGCAGCCAAGCTTCACATGGCCTGATAGGACTACAGCAAAAAAAGCGTTAACTCTTGATTCTTAAAAAAATCTTTGTTAATAAACTTGGACTTTCTTTGAAAAAAAAAGACAGCTTGCAGAGTTAGAGCAGCAACTAATGACTGCCTGACAGAAAAAACCCTACTATTTAATGATACCAGCTATTAGTGTCTAATACTAATGACATGCTGAATGTGGAGGAAAAAAAAAAACATGTGGGCCATGACTTTGAAATTATGCACGAATTGCATGTCCAGGGTATCCGGGGTGGGGGAAGGCTGTGCACAGGTGTGTCAATTATAGATGTGTATGTCAGCAATCAAAAGATTTTACACCAGCATGATAGATTAATCGCAGCTCTTGTGGGTGTGTGAGTAGCACTCAGTTGCTGCTGGACATTTCGCCCTGATTTTAAACTGCTGGTTCTTTCTATTAGCTTCTTTGTGAAAATGGGGCAATTTTCATCTTTTCAACAGCTATGTGGAAGAGTTCAGAGCTCAACCAACCTTGCACCCTGTGATTAGGATTTTCACACAGTCAGCCTTTGGTCACAATCTGCTAGAGAACAACTGTTCGTCTCTGCCTGAGAAGGCTCATTCTGATTGACATCGGTTTCTGTGATCTCAAAGCTTAATTTTATTGTAGCTCTTTTTTTTTCAATAGCCTGCAGGCATTTTACAGTTTTTCATTGTTCAGTATGAATTGTTTTGATTAATGTAGATTTAAGGAAAAATGGCATGAATCTTTGGGATAAGCACATGCTGGGATGTTATTCTGATAAAACGGTATCCCAGTATTTTGACAGAAATGTATATAATAACCTAATGCATGTTTGCATTGGGTCTTTTCTTTCTGCACGGAGTTTGCAGAAACGTGTGCATGCGTGGGTTCTCTCTGGGTACTCCAGCTTCCTCTCACAGTCCAAAAAGCATGACTGTTAGGTTATTTGGTCTTTCCAAATTCTCCCTAGGTGTGTATGAATGGTTAGTTGTCCTGTCTGTCTCTGTGTTGCGCTGTGACAGACTGGCAACCTGTACAGGCTGTCCCCTGCCTCTCATCCTGAACGTTAGCTGGAGAGAGGCACCAGTACCCCTCCTGACCCCCTGCCACTAGTCTGAAGGAGCTGAGTGGGGTAGGTGAAGGGACGCTCTGTGAGGCAGAAGCTCGACTGGAAACTGCAGTGTTTAATTTAGGCTACTTGTATTAACATTAGATTCTATCAACAATTCTTTCCAAAATCAGCCTCTCTCTCTGTATTTCTGGTTTTATAATTATCATTTAGTCAGCTCTTATCATTTAGTCCAGGGATCCTCAAATCCTAAAATTTCACTTTGAGGGTCTTGCCAGGGACAAATCTAAAAGTTTGTGTCCCTGGTCCTAAATAATCGAATGAATTGTTTCCTCAAAATGCAGTCATGTTCTCTAGGTCATGCAAATGACATCATTATTTGACTAAAGTGTGTTGAAGCAGAAACATCTAAAAATTGCAGGACATTGTCTCTCAAGGCCTGGATTTGAGGAATCACAGTAACTTTAATATAAATGACTAAATACTTACAGCAGATGGGGTAAAGTTTTGCAGCAGTTTCAATGTAGTTTTTAGAGAAACCTGAACCAAGGATAAAAAGCTCATTATTTGCTACCTGCTTGGGTAGAAAGCCTGCAGTTCTTCCAGCCAACTGAAATCAGTGCCCTGCAAAGAGTGAGGGCGAACGGTGCTGCCCTTCTCTAGTATATTTCATCAGGAGGACATTAAATTGTATGGACAGTATTGTTGGAAGTTTAAAAGCATTTTGGAAACTTATTTTGAAACTTTTTAGATTTTTGTGTTATCAAAACCTGGCCAATTATTTGTTGTGAACCTTCTGATGCCTGTCTTGGAGCAATCTCCCACCTCTACTCATTCCCAGTGGTAACCATCAGCTTCACAAAGCCAGCTTACCGCTCTACCACGGAAAGATTTTCCCATGAGACATTGATTGGCAGGAACTTTCTCAACATTTCAACATGAGCGGAGAAGTAAACAAGTGAGCTGCAGGAAGCTGTCATTCAGAGTAACGTGTTGTTTGCTATTTAAGCACTGAGATGTTAAAATGCCAACAAGCAATTAGCATAGAAAACAAAGCTGTGACAGGTTATTAAATCCATACAAATGACCTCTCTTATGGTAGCCAAACTTAATACAAAGGTCAGACTTTTATGAGCAGAATAACTTGTACTAATTATGCTTGATTAATATGTAGTTTTCACTGCAAAATTAAAATATAACATTTTTTTGCATTAAATCAATAATTTTGACAAATGATACAGCTTTTTTTTTTTCTTTTTTAAATTGTTTCCTAGGTGCCAATCTAATACGATTACCATGAAAATAAAAACATTTCTCATTCTGTGGCTTGTTGCAGCTCAAAAAGCCATTTAATAAAATTTCAGGCTACGGCAGCCAGCAGCTAACAATCAGGCCTCACTTTTTTTGTTTTTTATTTTTATGATGTGTCACCACTTAAAATATAACAGCCATTCCTCAGTGTGGAGTCAATTTGGTGGTGCTTGAAGGTAATGACCACTTACAACATGTGATTGCCTTTGCAAGGAGTGACCATGTACTTGACAGCCACCTAACAAAAGGCTACTCTGCGTGTTTCTTTCCTAGATTACCCAGGAGCAGTTTATCCTGGCCTCGCAGTCCCTGCACCTCCAGCGTCCGGGCTGTGAAGCCGTATATCCAGTGGGGCTATACGGCTGGAGAAAGAGATGCCTCTATTTCTTCCTGCTGCTGCTCCTGGTCACCATGATAGTAAACCTGGCCCTCACTGTCTGGATTATTAAGGTCATGAATTTTTCAACGGTGAGTTCAGCATGTTCTTTGCATTGGTGGTTTGGTTGGGTAATTTTCAAACAGTTCTCACAGACGGCATTGAGTTTCTTGTTACATAGGAGTTCTGTTGAAGTTTTCAGTTGTAAGAATTTCACTTTTCTGTTTTGCAGCTAATAACTAGTCAAACCAGCGCCAATGCAACTGCATGATAAAAAATGTGTTTGTGATTAATGTGAATGCTATTTTAACCACTATCATGCCTTCATTAATGTTATTCATGGGTGGAAATGTAAGTCTTGTACCAGCTTCTGAAACTTGGTTTTGTCACAATTTTTCAATCCTTTGTGATATTTGTCTTGATGCAAAAACATGCGAATAAACAACTGTTTATTTAAACATCATAAGGTTAGCTGTTCTATCCAAAGAACTGTGCTCCACAAAGTTCACCCTCTACCATGCAAATGTCTTCCTTCCATTTGTCCTTGTACGAAAACTTTCCACAATGCATACCGGTGGATTTTATTATTATTATTTTTAGTACTAGTGTGCTTGGAACAGTTTTCACAAATAGTAAAGACATTTGTGTTTCTTGGTACCAAAAGTCAGTATCCGGGTTGTACTCATGGAAAAACCTACCTAAATATTCTCAACAGCTTAATTTATTAGAGTCTAACTTAATTTAATTAGATAATTGAAGTTTAAGTTGCAGATATGTCTTGTTCTCTTTATTCAATTATCTCAATTAACTGTGAGGTATCAATCCTCAGGACTGGAGATGCCACAGGTTGCAGAAGCTCATATAGGTGTCTTCTGCATTGAGATTGACTACAGTGACAAAGATCTTTTGTTTTTACAGTGAGGGAGATGCATCACACTGACTCCACCTAACGTTATGTGACACTAGTGGAGGAGGAATCTTTCATAGAGGAAACCACACATTAAACTCTGCTGCTCAACCAATAAATGCCCTTTTCTTCCACATGTCGCTCCATATTACAGGAAATAAACAAGATTTCTTGCAGTGGGCGATTTGTTAAGAAGTAAATCTTTTTGCACTGAGGCATAATAATCTGCTACCATAATTACTGTGTAGAAATTCTGCATAGTTATCAGTATTTTTTTTTACATTTTTAAATAATATCACAGAGTGATGATATTTTGGGATGAATCAGAGTCTTAGCAGCAGTCATTTGGACAGTTTAAAAAAAATCATTGGGAAAGAACACTGAAAAAAAGAGAACAGTTTCAACTTAAAAACATATTACATGTAATTAAATTTGTCAAACTTGACTTACTTTTAACATGGCAAATTGATAGACTTAATGTCTTGGATAAACTTGATTTGATTACTTGTAACAAGTTAACTCTTATAAATTCCAGCACCCTTGTAGTTTTTTCAATGAAGATGATGTAAACTGACACTTGTTGAATTAAGCTTTTGATATGCTATGCTCAAGAGTTTATTTTTAATACTGGCTCTCAGTCACATTTATCATTTTATTATAAAATGTTAATTCTAAGAAAGATTTTTTTTTTATTATTGTATCCAAAACACTGTTAAAGCCAAACACAAGTTACACTTTGTGCCAAGTATGTTAATAAATATAATTTTCTTTCCTCACTTTAACTTCGTCACAAAGACTTAGTGGGGAAACTACATTTTTAAAACCCCACTGGAAAAAAGGGTTTCTAAACATTGCATATTATGGTTTGGTTTTGGGCCAATCTTTGTTTTATAAAGAGTTGAAAACACTTGGCAGTGGACCTGCTGACATGGAGACTGTTTATCTGAGACAAAACCAAACCCAGCAGCTCCTCTGGGCTCCAGTGACATTTTCAGGGACAATGCACACTATTAACCATTTTGTCAACAATGTCCCAACGGCAGCAGTTTCCTTTCCTGTGACTGAACTTTTCCTGACTATTGGTACTGGCTCTGCTATTTCCATCAATCTGCGCCATGAGTAAAGTACATTTTCAGTGAACATTTCAGATCTCTGTGGGCCTAATGCTATAAAGGTAAAAATTTTAAAAAATAAATTCCTTCTTTTAGCAGTTGAATAGTTAAATCTAAGTGAAATGGGGATGGTCTCTTGAGGCTTTTTTAGGTAATCAAAAGCATTCAGTTTCATTCATAGTTGTTAAAGTCTACAATGTCATTTTAGTGGGGTAGATTTTTGTTTTCAACCTGACAATTTAAAGATTCTTTTTTTTCTCTCTCTCTTGTAATGCCTCTCTGAGCAATGTCCTTTTTTCACTCCCATGCTGCCTATGGAGCATTCACATCCACTCCAGTGACTTTAGCATCTGTCTGCTGACATACAAAGACCCAAACGCTCCTCTTGCACTCCTTTGATTTCTGTTCTGCTGTCTGTCCTCACTCCCTGCTCTCATATATGATAAAGCTCTCCCTGCTGTTGCTCTGCTTCTATATTCTTCTGTCTCTATCCATTTCTGCTGACAGCTCTATACACCCTTTCAGCACTTCCCTCAGGGCCAATCTCATCATACACAACCTCACAAAAGCTGTCCTCTCCCTCCACACTTTGCTTATTGTGCTGGGGCTGGACGTAATCTTGTCCAATTTCAGCTGAATTATCTGTGACCAAAATAATTTCCTGAATCGACGTGATGTAAAACTAACATTTATCTTCTGCTATTTTTGCAGCTTTGTATCCCTTTAGAAAAACAGCATGGAGCCAATTTATTTGTAAACCTTTCAGCTGAACAGGGAAAGGTCTGCCTCATCTGTCAGAATAAGCTGAACAGCTGGGTTGCTGAAAATTTGCAATTTTTATGGATGGGTTTTGTGTGTATATAGTGGTGTGAAAAAGTGTTTCCTTATTTCCTTTTTTTGCATGCTTGACACAGTTTTGTGTTTCAGAACATCAAGCCAATTCAAATGTTAGTCAAAGACAACATAAACACAAAATGCAGTTTTTAAATGTTTAATAAGGGAAGAAAATAATCCAAATTTACACTGACCTGTAAAAGAGTGACTGATTTATCACACCTGAGTTCTCCTTCCCTTGTCACTTTCAGGTCTGATTACAGCCACACCTGTTCTCAATTGTAGGACCTGTTTGATAAAGTGAATTACACCAAAAGCTTCTAAAACTTGGCATCATGCTAACATCCATATAAATGCGAAAGAAAGTAATTGAAATCTATCAGTCTGTAAACCTTAAAAAAAGAGACTGTGTAAAAATGGCCTGCATGGCAGGGTTCCAGGATAAAAACCACTGCAGAGGGGGGGGAAAAAAACCATTAAGACTTGTCTCTGTGTTCCCAGAATACTTCTGAATGATCCCCAATACTTTTAAGAAAACAGTCTTGAACTGACGGGGCAAAAGTTAAATTCTATAGAAAGTTTGTCCTATTACATCCGGTGAAAAAAATAACATTGCATTTCAGAAAAATAGCCTCATAATATCATACCAACAGTAAAATGTGTTGGTGTGTGGGTTTACTGGTTCAGGACCTGGAAGTCTTGCTGAGATAAATGGAACCATGATGTCTGTCCTCTACTAAAAATCCCGAAGGAGAATGTCCTGTTATCTGTCCGAGACCTCAAGCTGAAATGAACTTTGGTTCTGATCCAAAACACCATAGAACGTCTACTTCTGAATAGCTATAGAAAAACAAGTTGAGTGGCCTAATCAAAGTTCTGATCTGAATCCTGTTGAGATGCTGTGGTGTGAACTTAAAAAGGCTGTTCATGGTTGAAAACTTTCCAATGTGGCTGAATTGGAACAATTCTGATAAGATGAGTTGGCCAAAATTGTAATTTTAGATTTTGTTTTTCTTTCCCCCCATAAATGTCTTTACTTAAGAAATATGTTTTTGGTTACTTGTGTTGTCTTTGATCTTTACATTGGTTTTATTTTTTCTAAACACAAACGTGTGGGGAAAAAATGAGGAAATCAGGATTAGGGGAAACACTTTGAATCACTCTTTCTGTAATTCTAGTATCCGGTTGTTGTGTGTGTAAAGATTCTTTGCTTATCCGTTTGAATTTTATCTGAAAATGTGAGTGAAGCTGAAATAAGTGTAATGAGAGCTGTTGAATTAGGCCTCAAAATAAAAAAGCAAACTGTGTTTAACTGAAAACACTGTCTTAATTATCTGTGCTAACTAGAAAACCAGCCTGCAAGAAGATGCATAGACTGACCTTTCACCTCTGAATCAAAATTGGTGAATTTGAGCAGAAATGGAGAAAACTGACATCATATAAGGACATAAAAAATGCCCATTAAAGTGGTTTTAAATATTCTAAAAAGGCTTGCCTGGGACAAGCCCTGGAAACCTCTTGAACATGGAGACCGCTGCTGGTTTCTCTCTTCCAGGATAAAAAAATATTTAACAGGACTTTTTGGATTGACCAACATTCATACTGCTTATTAAGTCCTCTCAGTCAGGGATGATGACAGATATCAAGCAGTGGTAGGAAAGTTTCCTGTCTAAATGCTGCTGTGGCAGATTTCTGGTTATTGTCATCTTTTGCCTAACAAGCAGTTCTGCTCTCTTCCTCATCATCCTCTCCTGCTTTTCAGAGTCTAACTTTAATAAGTATATTAAAACCCAAAACAGACTGTCCAGCCATAGTTGCACTAAAAAATCTAATACATTTCTGATGACATGTCTTGTAGGAGTTTTGAAATCATGTCATGTGCAGGGTTTAAGGAAGTAACATGGCGATTTATTTGAAGTATTTTGAAGCCATAATTAAACATCAGTTCAAACAACTGAACTTGGGTTTGTATTTGAACATGTCACCAATCCAAGTTCTGGAAGAAGACTTGGTCTGTTACCCTCAAATGAAAGAAAATTGGTTTACATGTTTGAAGATAATCCAGGAGTCACAGAGGCTGGACCCAAGATTGAATTTGAACCTGCTGAAAATACTTTTCCTCCTCACAGAACAATTTTTACATTGGCTGCACTGAGAAGGTGCAACAAGAAAGGAGTTTCTGCTCAAAAATAATAATTTTCAGCCTCAATTATCTGATCTTTCTTATTTTTGCTACTTAAAATGGAAAATAATGGTCAGATTTGAAAAAAACCTTGGTTAACCTGGTAGCAAGTATAGTCTTTAATAAAACTCCTAAAATCTACTTATGCTAAACACTTATATTTTATGGATTAATGTTATCTCTACTAAAGCTGCCAACAATAAAATAAACATAAAAATGTTTGCATCAAGCTTAAAAAATGTGAAAATGTGTTGCTCGGTTTGTTCTCAATCATAATGCAGCTGCTTTCTACAAAGCTGTGATTGTTTGAGTCAAAACGGTACAGTCAGCACAGCCCACCGCAGTGTCACTGATTGTGTTTCAGGACGGAATGGGAAACCTGCAGCTGAACCACGACAGCCTTCACCTGGAGGGAGTCGGGGAGTTTCAGATGCCTTTGTATGTGAGCGAGATCCAATCCAGAAGGGTAAGTAGCTGTCTTTGCTCACCAATGTGAAGATCTCTTTAATCGCTTCTCTGAAACGAACATGAAAAGGCTTTTTCTGAAGCAGAAGATGGGCATTGATCGTTTGGTGTTTTAGAATGGATAAATTTCAATCAATCCATGATCAGCAAAGGCCAAATCAAGTAGCCCTTTGAAGTTAGCTTATGTTGGAGACATTCTCCTTACCTTTGTCCACTCACGTCCTCCAGCAGACACCCCTCCTCCCATCACCAGGACACTATAGGAACTATAGAATGGGGGGTGAACATGAAGCTGCTTACTGGATTTCCAATCAAGCCCCTGCAGTAAATCCTTTTGCTTCCAGTTCCTACTCCCCATTTTTTCTTCTTTGATGCTTAGCAAGAATATCCAGCTCAGTTTCCACATAAAAGTTGATCCACATTTCCTGCTCCCACGCAAATCAGACTCTCTGTTGGATCATCCTCCTTTTCAGTGATTAGACATGGCGCTGCAAGCAATTTCAAGCTCCGGAAGCAGGGGCTTCCCTCCTAATTTGAATTTTAGGAACGTCGATTGGGGAAGTTGCTCAGTCGTGGGTCCAATTTGCCACAGCAGAGTTAGAAATGAGTTAGATTATGCCAGTTTGAGTCAAATGACTTGCTCGTTTATATTTTTGGTAACGGATGAGAGTGCTACCGCCACCTAAGAGGGCAGTCCCAGTGGTCTACTCCTGTTGCAGAACAACCTGCAGGCATTTTTATTGTCCTATTTTACAAACGATGCTCTGAGTTGCCCTCTTATCTCCCACCAGCAAGTATTTTCACAAGGAACTCAATGAGTCAACCACACTAAAGAGATCAATTCCATGATTTTTTTATTTTTTTTTTTTACTGCAGTAATCATCCTCAAAATAGAAAACCAATAGCAAAAGCAGCAGGGAGCAGAGTTATATGAAAAATAAAATACCAAGCTGCGGCCTCCAGATTTTTGAGCTGTCAAAGTTCTGCTACAGTAAAATGTCCCCAGATCATGAAATCACTTCCTCCTCAATGCTTAAGATTGCATGAATTTGTTTTTTTCTTTTCTTTTCTCAGAATGCTGTTTGGCTTACAGCAAATATTGCATGTCCTTCGTTCTGGTACTTCTGTGTGTAATTTTAGTTGTTTTTAGGTGAGAATAAATCTGGAGTTCTAATTATTTCTGAATATAAAATGTTTTAATTACAATTTAATTTTTAAACTGTCTCCTCAATACTTTTTAAGACATTATGTTGTCTTACATTTTAATTATTTTACTTACATTTTTAAGTATTTCTAACTGTTAGTAGTGCATCAACATGAAGAGGAACAAAACAGCAAAAGGTGTCCTCTCTGAAAGCCTGTTTTCCTATCATGTAAGTGGAAGAGGTTTTTATGACTTCTAAATAAAGTTAAGGACCAAAGAATGAATTAAACATTACCATTTTAAATATTAAGATCTTTTAATATCCCTAAGAAACCATCCTTGAAGCTACCTGACTAATAAAATAAAATGTTACTATTTAGATTTTGTTTTCTACCAAATTTTCCTTAAACATTTGGGAGCAAAGAGAAAATGAGACAAGTCTTAGTTGACTAGAATTGGATACCAATGTCAGAGCAAGTAGTTTTCCCTTTGTTTCAGTCTAGCAATGTTTATGCAAAAGCATTTCACAAAGAAAATGAGATTTCAAGAGCTTTTATGATGAAGTGCCCTGCAAAAGCATTAACACTTGAGGTTTTTCACATTACAACCACAAACTTTAGTTTTATTCAAATTTTATGTGACAGAACAAAACAAGGTGGAGAAAATCTCAAACTGTTTTTGAAGAATATGAAAAACTAGACTGAAGTAGCACATTGAAAATCTCTCTGTCATTATGCACCATTTTGTGTTGGTCCATCATGTAAAATCCAAGGAAAGTACATAAATGTTTATGATTAGGATGTGACAAAATAGGAAATACTACTTTGAAAAACACTATTTTGCAGACTGGTGAGGGTGTTGAGTTTGATTTTGTGTTCATTGCCATTCTAGTTTTAATCAACAGGTGTATAAATTTCAGTTATAGCACAATAATTTATGCTAAATTGAATCCTAAATTAATTGAGTTATAAACCTTTCTAGTAGAACCTAAAGGGAAAAATGGAATGTTCTGTACTTAAGTATTTAGTGCACAGATGAAATTTCTGTTTCTAGGTTTGATTTTGTATTTATTGCCTGAAATAAAACCATATTTTAATATTCATCCCATTCTCCAACAAACTTTAATTACACTTTAAAATGCAGGTGTGTTTATAAATAACTTCGTTGTGTTAAAACCAGATTATTGTTTTGAAAAATGGTCAAATGAGGCAACATTTTGTCCAAATAATTGATCAAGTTTCTGACGTTCACGTTGCTAGCTCTAATTAGCTCCAGAGAGTCTGACTGATTTGAGAATAGCAGCAGGTGTAACTTTTTTTCTACTTCAGGCATTCTCGCCTTACCTGCTTGATGGCTGTCAGAGAAGATGGTGAGCTGTGTTCCTAATTTTCCTGCTGGAAAAGACGGTTTAAAACACAAGCTTGTTAAAGTCTCCAAGCTGAAAAGCTTTCATTCTGGAATCGGTTTGAGCTGGCTAACTCCGTTATGTTTCATTGCAAGGAAGAGTTTTATATTAGACTGCAGAGAAAGTGAGTGACATAAGTATTGAACACATCAATGCTTGTCTTGGTTTGAATAATTTTAATGGGGTCATTGATAGAAAATTCCCATCAAATGTCAGTCAAAACCAAAGTTACAAAGAAATCAAAGCAACCGACTCCATAAATGAAAAATCTTTTTATTTATCAGCTTATTTAATAAAAAGTAATGGCCTACATAAAGGCTTGTCATTACAAATGGCACATAGTGCGACAATTACCATTTTATGCAACTTTCTTTCTTTTACACAATGCCAACAGGTGAAACATCATGTTGTGGGCTTCCTTTCTAAACTTCTTAATATTCCATTGAGTAGTATTGGAAACATAATCCAAAAGTAAAAGGAAGAAAAACAGGATTCAGAAGAATAATCAAACGAGCTGCACAAGAGTGAAAATGCACTTGCATAAGAGACCTGAAGATGGCAATTACTCTGCTGTAATTGCCTCTGTGCAAAATCACTGCACATGTCTCCACTCCTGAAGATAAAGCATATTAGGTTTGTTTAAAGTTTGCTGAGGTAGATTTGGACAAGCTGTAGATATATTAGGAGAATGTCGCCTGACCTTTTGGAAGGAAGAATCATTAGCCTACAAACACAATGCTAACAGGTGAAACATCATGTTGTGGGCTGTCTTACAGCAGTGGTGGCAGACGCTATACGGAGACATTCTTTATGAGAATCTGAGTGGCGATAAATCCCAAAGACATCACATGGGGGATTTAGAAAACCTCTTTCATCATGTACCATAGCTTGAAAATCCAGGTCAGCCATCTGACTTGTATCCAACTAAAGAAAATCTATGGAAAGGATTTAAGACAAAGTTGCAGAGAAATTTCCTTCAAAACCTTCCAGAGTCAAAGACGGTTTGTGTGGAAGAACGAGTCAGAATTAAACCTGGGTTCAGCATTTAACTTATAAATGAGGTTTTGATGTCATCATCACAAAAATGTTTTTTCTGCAAACTATTAAATGCTCTTCTGTTTTGAATTATTTCAATTTCCTCATAAGCATATAAACTGTTGAAATGTTGAATATTTATTTCACCCACTGTGTGTTTGCAAACCTATTAACTATCCTGGAGGCAAAAGTGATTTAAATGAAGAAATTAAAATGTAAACAGTCCTTGTAAAAATAGGAAGTGATTTTTGTTTTGACAGAAAATAATTAAAATACAAATGAATTTCTGCACAAATTAATGCTGCTAAATTCTGAGTGGCAATCTTTCTCCTTTTTCAATTCCTGTGTTTAATTTAATACTGAATTAACAGCATCACATGCAACTGCTTTCTTTTAAACTGACTTTCTGAAGTGGCATGCCACACTTTTTGCTTTTGGCTGAGATGTTATTATTTATATGCGGGGAAGCATTCTTTGCTCAAGTAAATTTTCAGTCTGATTCAGCCACTGTGCACCTACTCTCTCTCCATTTATATGCTTTCTCTTTGATCCCAAGTTGACCTTCTGGAGCATAAACGGTGACTGAAGATCCTTTTATGTGATCTTAGAGTTTGGAGGAGCAAGAAACTCTCCAACAAAGCTCCTGAGGAAACCGTTTAAGGCCTATAAACTCTTGAAAGGAGCACCATAAATCAAGAATGCTAATTTCTTTATGATGCTGCACTCCCTTGGTAAAGTTGTTTGTATTGAATCTTGTAACTTTTTTTTTTTTTTTTAAAGAAGCAAGCAGATAATAATCATGAACCAAATGACCTTTGCAAAGTTTTATGCAGCGCAAAGCTGAGATAATAACCCAGTTGAGGCAATAATTAGCACCCAGAGGACACCGTTAGATGAACCTCTAAGGTTGTCGTATAACATTAGTATTTGCTCAACTTTTTCTCACACCTCACATAGCATCAGGTAGCAATGTTTGAAACTGTAAATCCATGGATAAAGAGATGAATTTTGTCAAATAATAAGGATGTTTTAAAATCCCTCCACATTTCCTCTAAAGTCAGAATATCTTATTGTCAGAACGTTGAGCAGAATTTCAAATATCCCAACATATTTTCTTTATGCTTATTTATGCCATCAGTCAGTGCATTTCCTTTTGTTGTGAGCTTTCACTTTACAATATGTACAATTTCTAGCTTTAGTCCCGATCATATTTATGGAAATAAAGAAATAACTCCTTCAAGAATAGAAAAGTACAAAAAGAAATCCTCTCCAATAAGAACTTCAAAACTACGAATGAATTGAACACATATTTATAAGTTTGTGCTTCAAAATCAAAATTAAATATATAGATTTTATTTTAACTATCTTAATGACTGTATTATTAATTGCACCTGTAATGGTAAATACACTAATTAATTGAATGATAAATTCAAATACTCATTTTTTATGTTTGTTCCCTTTCACAATAAAAGCAAAGGTTCTTCATTGTCATAATAAGAAGTGGATTAATTTAGAACTTATTGTTTTCAGTCTTTTAAAAGGTACCGACTTTACTGTTTAAGAAAAAATGCCTCCATCAAATTGAAAGTCTAAGCTTTGGAACTGCATGAGTTCAGTATGTAAAGGAACATTAAAGACGATGAAACGGGAATATAAAGAGATTGGATTCATATGGTTTAATTTCTGAAACTGATCATTTCCTTATCACCACTTGTTTTAGCCCCTGATTGAAATTGAAATCCATCAATGTGAGACGCCTTGAATTAAATCTGAAATGAGTGCTGCTTATCTAATTTAAGCCATTTGCTGTGGAAAATATTTTTGTACATTTGCTGAGAAGTTTCCAACTGATTTGTTTTTGCAGCTTTCAGCTTTTCTATTTTCTCTTTGCCACCATGGTTTTTATGTACTGTTGCAATAAACTCTCCGTCTAGTGTCTGTGGTGAAATAGTAACTTTATTATGATGCTGTGACAGGCTTTTGTGTTACTGTTTGCGTTGCTGCCTGCAGATGGTTGAAAATCCATAGAATAACCTTCACGTGTTGTTTGGAAAACGGAGTGAAATTAGTTGCGCTGTCAATGAGATTTCAGATCTCTGTTTTCTACATAAATCAATTTTTGTCTTGGCAATATCATCAAATCTCAATGGTATCAAAGATTTTGACTTTCAATTAAAGTCTTTTCAGACAATAGTGTCATTTAAGCAATGTTGCTGAGTTAAGCGTAGCCATACAGCAACTCTTGAATGATTGACAAAAGAGCAGACTGCAATTATATTTTTAATTATTGCGTATTTTTTTACATACACAAATATGATTACACGCCTTCAGTTTCTGTAACTGAAGGCGTTAGTGAAACTGAATATGTCTTGTTCTACATTTCATGCACATTGGCATCTATAAAAATGGCTAAAAAGGACAAAACAAAATCTCACAACCTGAAATTATTCCCTACACTGTGAGCTCCTTTTTGCAGAAATGTCTGGGATAAAATAACTGCCTGGACTCAGGAGGCTGATCAGTATTCACACAGTGACACAGAAATCTGCCATCATTCAAATGTCAAAAAGCCAGAAAATTACTAAATACAAAGCTGCCAGGAAGCGGCACAGGTCTGCAGCTAAAGTGTCTTAAGTTAAAAGACGTAGACGCCTACACTTGTCACATCTTTGGCTCCCCCACCAACTTCTTTTGTTCTGAAACCTCAAAATCTATGAAAGTCTGAGTGTGAGATGTTTTTATCGTACACTCAAAGTGACTTTAAACATTTGTTTTTTAACCTGTTCATTCTAATTGCTACTTTTACTTCCAGTAGCTCAAAACGCTGTTAATGCACACACTAGGTTAAGCGCATTTCAAGTACTCTAAAATAAATACATTTTGTGTTGTGTCTCCATTTTATGCCCATCCAGGACAGTTTGTTGATTTTGCGTTCAGAAAAGAATGTAACAGTGAATGCCAGAAACCACGAAGGCCAGTTGACCGGTCAGCTTACAGTGGGTGAGTTTCCAGTTTCACCTAATTATTATTCCAGCAGTACCTGATTAACATAGTCATGTTCAATAAATTAGAATTAATGTTAAAATATCCATGTTTTTCAGTAACTCAATTCACTAATAATATTTTTTTATTTTTTTACAGCTAATGATGACACAATATTAAACTTAGATTAAGATGTTGCAGCAAACTGATGAAACTAATTTTTAATCGAGGAATGTGGACTTAATGAAGTGTATGCATTATTTCTGTTTAAAATTATTTTTAATTTGACGAACAAGCCTGGTCAGAAGATGTATTCTAATTTATTAAATATGACTGTATTTTAATAAGAAATGTATTGATCATAATTTTGTGGCTTTTTCTTGTATCCAATTTTTCTAAAGCTTTAAATGCAGCTAAAAAGAACAGGATTATGGTGTTGACATTTTTATTTTTCATTCTGTCTCATGTTGATGTTTTATGTGTCTTTTGTCTGTATTTCCCAGAAAATGTAGATAATTACTTTAACTTTGAGACTTAACAAAAGGTTGCAAACATGTTTAAATTCAGTATGTTGTATGACAGTTTGAAAGATAAAAATTATAAAACAGACCAACTTTAATGTACTCAATTAGTCTGAAGGAACCTCTGATATGTGTCTACATTTTGCAGAAAATTGCAGTTTCCTTTTTAAAGAGCTTCTTGGAGCTCCATGCTTCTGTGACTTCAGTCTTAAACACCTCATTGATGATGAAAGAGCTGACTTATTGACTCCCAGCCACAATAAATGCTTCATCACCAAATATTGTGTTCTGCATGATCTGAAAGCAGTTAATAATTATGTTTTCACTCATTTAAAAAACTGATTTGCTATTTAAGTTTCAGATTGAGGTTAAACACAGATTTCTTGGTGTCCATTTCTTTAGTATTTGAATCATTTATTCAGAAGTCTCCCTTTTAGTTTTGTTGTTTTATTCTCTTTTTTTCTTTACAAATAACCCCTAAGCCATTTATTGAAAGGGCAGTAGATTCATCCTACCACTGAGTTCAACCATCACTCAGCCTAAATGACCAAATTACCAATTACAGTGATTGATGGCCACTGGGAAACAAATGACCTGCTTCTTAACTTTAATAGCTATTGATCTTTGTCAACATAAGTAGAACGTTGATGCTAATTTGATAAGACTGTTGATATGAGGCATTGTGGTCAAGCTTGACCTTTCTTTAAAAATCAGAGCCATTTTTTCTCTCTGAAGGCCAGTAGATGGTACAACAATGTAGCTATTGGAAATATATTCATCTAGATGTGGAACCATGTAAAACTCTGAAGAACAGGAGACAAGGTGATAATGAGCATTTACTGATTTGTGTAATCATTGTAAAACTATATAGTCTATCACCTTCTGTGGGGCCACCGTGAGATGTTTACATTCTTATTATGAACATGAATGTCACAGTAACTATAGATACAGCTTCAAATATATGCATTTGTCTACTAATTTTTGATTAAAATGTTCCTTGGTGACTTGCACCTCAGCTATACAGTTTATCAAGCTTTTGGATTTATTGTGACTACATACAGTATTTCAGAATTTTTGTTGGACAAAATCCATTTCAGCGATTGTGTTTATCTACTCATTCTGCTGTTAGGGATAAATTACATTTCAGTTGGGTTGGAATGAGGGCTTTGGAGTTTAATCTGTTTTAGTCATTTCAACACAAGTTTTGATTAACTTTTTTTTGGACCGTTGTCTTGCTGGAATGGGTTTCAAAAAGTTTAAAATTGAACATTTTAATTAATGTAAAAGAAATTGTTCAAACTACAAACTTTACTGTTGAAGTACAATCAGTACATAAGAATAAAATTGTAGTTTGCTATCACTCGGAGTTAAAATGTTCATTTTTCTGTGTGTAGGTCCTGAAGGTGTGGAGGCTCAATGTCAGAGGCTGGAGGTGCGAAGCAGAGATGGTGGCAGACTCCTGTTCTCTGCAACTGAGGACGAAGTCACAATGACAACAGAAAAGTTTACTGTCACAGGTAAACTTTGAAGCGGTCTCATCTGAATTTCAAACAAGAGCCATTAATTTCTTTGAATTAAAAAAAGAACTGATTTAGTTGGATTCTCTGAGTAGAAATTAGATATTTTGGACATGATTCGTTCTTCAAACTTCTCAAACCTGATGAACCAGTTAACATTTTACAGCTACTTTAAATGTAAATTTGAAAACTATTTTGGTATATGCACACAAAGATATGTTGAGCATCTTGCATCACAGTGCAAGGACTTGTTCTTTACACAGATTAATTTTTTGTGCAATCAAAATAGCACAATGGAGCAAACTCATTATGTGACTGACAACTTCTTATAATACATCCTGCACTTTAGGGAGACAATTTACCACTACAAATTATCGTTTTTGTCTTGTCATCCCTGCAAAGACATGATTTATTACTAGTTTGATATCAGAATATCATATCTTCTGTTAAGCTTGAAAAGTCAGATTTTCTTATTTCTACAATAAGATTGATTTCTGATGGATGTGATGTAATTGAACCAGTTGCTATAAAATACTGCAATATATATATACATATATATATGTATATATATATTTTTTTTTAAAGTATAAAGTAGAAATATAGAGAAAAGTGCAAATCCCACAGATGTTAGACTTATAACCAGAATACTCTCCACCCTCTGCGACTTCATTTACAGCTCTTACACAACAGGAATATGGGACTGAGATCCAATTTTAGTTGCCACCAAGTTAATGCTCTATACTCAGCTCAACGTAATAAAACTGAAAGGTGATGGTCTAAAAAAATGTTGTCAGATTTTGGTATCTTTTGAAAGGCCTATATCTAGTGAAGCAAAGCTAAGCTCTGCAAAAACAGTCAGACTTTCTGGGTTGAATTTTATCGGCAGGTTCTGAAGGTGCCGTGTTTGGACACTCGGTGGAGACTCCGCTGATCCAGGCACCGACATCTGAGGATCTGAGGTGAGTTGATGTTTGGTGTCATTAAAGCTTAATGTCATCTGTTAATATCCTGTTAAATTAAAATTAAGATTCTTAAATATCAAAGATTAATGCTCTGTGGCATTTCAAAGTCGATGGCCGGGCTTTGAAAATAAAAAATAAAAAAATCAATCTGTGACAGGAACCATTAGTCACCACTATCATTATCTCAAACACCATATTGTAGACTCGGGCATCTACTGGTTACTACAACAACTGGATTTGACCACTATATTAATTTCACAGCCCAAGGGCGAGCTAATTTATTAGTTTTTCTCTATAGCAGACAGGAATTGATTAAAGCAGTGAGAAAACATTGAGAAAGTGTGAAAGGTTGAGCTATGTGCTGCGCTCCTTCTCTCCCCTTGTGCATGTGATCCCAACCGAACTCTGCCTGAGGCTGTGAGCCCCTCGTCGCTCCATTAACGAGCTATCAGGAGTGCAGTTTGTTGTCTACCTTACTGGTCCAGAGAGGAGAGCTGGGATCAAAGTTGACAGAAAAAGCACTGTTCTGGCAGCTAATTCCTCCAGAGTGAGAGGAATACTGATGGTTTTCATTTTCAAGCCATACACACATCCACACACAGAGACAGGGAGACGGGCTCAGCTCGGGGGTGACCATCTGCAAAGTGATCGCAGTCTCAATGAGGGGCAGTAAAACGGGAGATGGCCAATGCAAGACTTTTTTTTTCTCTCTATCACAAACAGTCATAACACTATTTAGTTCCTTGAAAAATAACACAAATATTTTCCAAGAATGTAAACATATATTTGAAGGTGAAAATGTCTCTTTTTCCAGTGATGAATCACTGAAAACACTTTTGAAATTGACTAGCCATACTGTCTATTATTCTGCTTTTCTTTGAATTAAATGTGTTTTCTGAAATCATATAAACATACATTTTTCTTTACAGAAGCATTTGAAAAGCAGCACAAATCAAACTGGGTGCTAAAGGCTATTAATGACTTGAATTTAAGTCCAACAAGGTTTTTATGCACTGGCCAATCCATTCAGTAAATGAACTGTGCATAAAAGCTGAACAGAATAATTACTGCAAGTCCAAACTGCTCTCATTACTTAATCTTTTTTTAGAATCAGTAAAAACTAAGAATTAAACCAAAAATATTAAATATCTACACAAAAAACCTCAAGATTTACATAAATCCACAATGCAAAGCCAACATGCTGTGAAAGCTACTGGAATTTTAATACTATGTAAATGAACGAATAATAAACATTAATGAGCATAAACTTAATTGATAAAACTAAGGTTAGGAGTTCTTGTTATCTTGGCACATTTCAATGTTTCTGGGTGATGAATCTACTCACACCTTAGTAATATCTCACTGGTTCCCTTCACCCGGGATGAGAACGTCCAGATGATTTTAAATGACCAAACAAACTCATCTTTATGGTGACTGGCAGTAAGCACCAGCAGATGCCATGGGTCCCCAAGTCATCACTGACTCTGAAAGCTATAAAAAGAGCCTCAAGCAACTTGGATTCTCTGCCTCACTACTTTTCCTCCAGACTCTGGGAAATACGAAATTTACTTTGATATGAAAAGAAGTTGTTAATTCACTGAACAACATCTTGTGATGGCATAATGAAATTCCCTTAAACTTTTGAATGCATTTTGCTTCACAATCCTTTCAAGGTTGGATTTACTTCAGTTTCTTTTTCTACATGTTTTTCTTCCACTCAATTAAAGCATTTGGAGACAGCATTCTGTGAACAGCTAGGATCTTCAGCAATGACCTTTTGTGACTGGCCCCCTTTGTGAATATGATGACCTCTCATATTATTTACAAGTTCTCTGTGATATAAAGATTGTGCATACAAATACTGCAGCAATACATTTGCATTAAATTCTGGAGCCATATTATCTGCTGGATACGTTTTTAAACAACTATTTCAAAATAGTTCATATTTTCACTACGCTCCTCCTGCTGCTTAATGTCATTTTATTTAGTGGCAGAGTAACAATATATTTGTGCAGTTGTTGAAAGCATGAAGTCAAGCAGAGCAGCAACCTCCCCAACGTAGCTTTTCCTAACTCAGCAGGATTCCTTTGGTTGCAATAAACAACTTATAGGTGCAAAGAAATCAAAATAACATTATGCTAATGTTGTTAGCATAATACATATTTTGCTGCTAAAATATTGCTGTTTTTAAATCCTGTATTTTATGCAAGCTTATCATTCGTTTACAGTTTCTTGCCGCCCTCCGACTCCCTAGTCATTAACAAAGCAAACAGTGATTTAAACTGTGCTCATTTAGACCAGCTGCTGTTTCCTAGAATAACTTGGCCCTCAGACTGAGTTGTCCTCAAGTTGCAGAAAGTCTGCAGTCCCTCATTCTAATGACAGCAAAGCAAGGCATAAATCATAAACTGGAAAAGGCTTTAGATTGATTACACCTGTACCTGTAATTCGTCAGCATGGCATCACACAGAACAACTCTCTAAAAGTAATGAAACATTAAAATACACAAACTCCAAATGTTTTTTGCCACTATTTTTCAAATTTCTGCTGCTGATGTAAGACTTTAAACTGCGAGCTCTGAAGAGTTTGAAAATGCTAGTACATGGGTTAGATTTGGTTCATGCACAATGCAGATTCTAGGCCTTTTTCTGCTTAAAAGGATGATGAGAGTAGATGTTCATTTGAATCTAATACCATCTGTGTTGGCTCACATCCTTGTCATCATATTCCTCAGCTTTAAAAGGAAGATCAATCTGTTTGGGATGCGTTTTATTTTCCTGCCAGCCAATGGTAATCGAGGAGAGGATAAAGCAAAGACAAAATCAAAGAAATTCACCTGAGAACTTCCATCTCTTTGAAGCACCTGCTCACCCCCCTCAGCAGCGAATGTGTACACACTGGCACTCAGCCACGACTCTGTTTGTTGCCATTTTAATAACTTTGGTAATCCAGCTGACATTTAATCATGTAGCTCAAAATGTTTTAAAGTTACTGTGCAAATGTTTTCAGTGTTTACTTCAGCCATTTCTTGCAGCGGCACCCTGATAGATGACAGGTGAGAGAAAACAAGAAATGTGAGCTGCAAAAGGTTTAGAAAAATTGGAATCTGAAAGTGTTAAAACTTTTAGGTCAGAAAAAGAGGTTGACTGACTTATCAAACATTCAGCAGACTCATAAAGCGGGCTTTTATTTTAAATAGTCGTCATACATAAAATCAAGGTGCTATAGCTACACTATGAGTCAAGAGCGTTTATTTCAGTGTGAACACACACTTTGCTACCAGACATGAATATTTCCACTTCCAAGTTTGTGTTGCACAAATTCAACTATGTTTTGAATACGACGATGACAAGGACACTGCAGACGGCATCGATAATTGTGATGTTTTCATATTGATACAGTTCAAGGTTTGTTTAGAGTTTAGGTCAGCATTTAGTCTGCAAATATTTTTGTTCTATTCATTTACAATTTCTTTGGTGATGAAGCTCATCTACCCTCTATGTATTGATTGCTGGTATATTGCAGTTTTGCTGTATTAAAACTATAATATACTTGCATTTGCTTCAGAGAAAAAAAGGGATATTAATATCAACAGAAAAGCGTTTACATCCTATTGCCTACATGTATCACTCTAGTACTACTATGCCCCCACAATCACAGCAGGTCATGAGAAGAACTTAACAAAAAATAAATGTTGTATTGTAACATTTGGTATAATAGTCTGAAATCCTCACAGGTGCAAATGCAAAAAGGAAACAGTTGTGACATTTAACATTGTCTACTGTTAAGTACTTCACACAGCCCCAGTTATAAATTGCAATAAAATGAAAATTGCTCAGTCTGCAACAATAGATCTGTTCCTTCCAATATATCACTTGACTGCAGAAACTCTCCTCCATTTAGGGTGAAAATGCATTTTGCAGCTCTTTGATTGATCCAAGCAGTTTTCAGGACGTTGCTGCTGTTTCCACACGAGTTTGACAAGTTCATTACAAAGATAAAGATGACAACAAGGGCTGCAACATTTGTCCACACTGCTCTCCTACTGCTTTGGAATAATTTAACTTCTCACAATTTTGGTTGTAAGAAAAAGATCTGTCTTTTTTTTTTTAAATACATGTGTAATTTGGTTATGAAATAAAGTTTGTATTTCTTAGAAGATTAAATATTAGCAGCACATCTCGTTTGCTGCCATGCTTGTTATCTGTCAGCAGGAGTAATCATTAGAGTGAGATCATTGGTACTGAAGTGTCTGATCTTTGTTTGCTGTGAAGACGCACTGAACGGTTGGAGTAATTTTATAGTTTCTTCTCCATCTTTGTGCAGAGTTGACTTTTATCTCTTTTGCAAGGCTAAAGTTATCATCTGCCGGGCTGCACTACCATTAAATGCACATGAGGTGTGGAATAACGTGTCTTTGATATTAAATTTGTGGTCTTGATAATGATGCTGAGGATTACTGAAGGGCTGAAATGATAGAAATTCTAATATCTCTATTGCCAATCACCGTGTGAGGTTTAATGCATCTTGTAATCGCTTGATTTGCTTGACGTCCTACTTTTATAGCTGACTGACGAAAGAATTGTTCCTAAAAGATAATAAAGGTTCAGATGAGACTCTGTCCTTCAAATTGAGATGGAGGTAATCTTTCCTGTGCTGAAAGCAAGTCGAGGTTACATTATATTTTGTGATTCAAAATCTCAGAAAATGAGACTTTTTACTGATGTGCAAATTGTTGTAAAATAAATATTTAATTGAGTGAAGGCTAATACTTAATAGCGGCAAGGTATGCCATTTTGGATTTCACCTTGAGAACTTGCATTGCTGTATGACGGTAGAAAAGTTTGCAGGGTAGAGATTGTAGGAGGCCAGTGCAGATGTGATTGTGCCTTTAGGATCAAAATCCATTATAGACTTTTTGTTTTTTATTTAAAAAAAACATTCTGCATGCAGGTGAATCTCAAGTTTACCCACAGTACCTTGGCCAAAGGGAATCATATTCTGCAGTTCTTCAAATTTTGATCCCATGATAATATATGGGAGGATGGCAGGATTTGTGTATAAAAGACAGGAATACTATTCCAGCAAGAAGAGTAAGACACTGAGATTTGTTTTTTAAATTTGAAGCACTTGCTCTTCCATTACTCTGTTGCTCCACCATTATATTTTGGAAAAGAAAGACATGCAGAGACTCCTAATGCAGGTTTTGTCTAGTGCTGATACCAATGGCACACGACTGTGGTCCCAGATTGCTGGCTGGGTTTTTGTGAACTCACAGCTGTTAAAGATTCCTCTGTCTTCACCTTCCAATTGGCCAGAGGGCGCTCAAAGGCGGCTCGTCTTTGGGTATGGAAATGTTTTGTGAAAAGAGGCTGAAGTCTCAGAGTTGAGGTGTGAATCAGTGTTTTGTCGTTACATGGGCAGCTTGGAAAAGAGCCGATTTAAATCTGAATTTGATGACTTTCCCTTTTCTTTACTCGAAACTGAAAAGTGGCACATAGACTATATTGCAGTCTGACACTAAAAGATGGATTCCATCTTTTTGGAATGGAATTCTTTGCATCATGAATTTACAGGCTTTTATTACTTAGTTTTAGACGTTACTTTTAGGTAATTTTTATTTGCAGCTTTAGTTTTTTTTTAGGGGGACGAGGAGGGCTCAGCACTGGTATGTCATTTTTGATCTTTAGATGTCCACTAATTTCTTGTAAGCAAATATCCTACAATATTTCGAACAGAAAATTCGTAAAAAGGCAGTGACCAAGGAAAACCTTTCTCAGTTTTTTATCAGTTCTTCTCCTGGATCAAAATCTGCAGGAGACAAACTGATGACCAAGATTTTTATTTAAAAAATAATAATCAAATGAGAGTCTAGCCCCTTAGTAGGAAAACCGTTGTTTTAAAACATTTTTTCATGACTCTGTCTCTGCAACACTCTGTTCTCATTTTTATCAACCATAATTATCAGCACAATATTTTTTCCCCTCTCACAATGTTTGCTGACCTTTTTGTTGATGTAAAGGTCAGCCTGAATGCAGATTGTTTAGGTTTCTTGGATAATGAGAGAATCTGTCATAAACAGTCTTTCTGACTTCAAAATGCCCCATAAGTCATCCTTTAAAGGACATTTTATATCGAAGTTTTCTAGAAGGAGCCAGAAGCTCCTGAAACATCCTGTATAGAATGAGCTCCTCTGAAGGAAATTTACGCTTTCTTTCAGGTAAACCAATGGCCTCATCAGTCAGCCTAATGATCTGAGAGGTATAAGGCATTGTAACATTTAAAAACAAAATAGCCGTCCTACTCTTCTGCAAAGGCACATTATGGAAAATTAAGGTCACCGGCTCCTTAGCTTAAGACACCAATATTTGCCAAGCTGTGGTGGCTTGAAAGTATGCAACCTGTATTCTTCTGCCAATTTTCACAAGCTGTTGTATAAATGACAATAATAATAATAATAATTAAAAAAAAACATACTATACCTCTGTTCCAGAATACTGTTCCTTACTAACGGAGTAAAGGGACTTTGCAGCAAACTGTGAAGACAATTTTCCTATAAATGCATACATGCTGATGCAGATGGTGATAAGCAATTTAGATACAGTGGTGAAAACAAGTAATTGATTCCCTGCTGATATTTCCAGATTGGAGAGGCCTGTAAATGTCATTATAGAAACAGAAATCTAAATTCTTCCTCAAAATACTGAGAAATCATATTCAAACATTTGAGTTTAAAGAAAGTTAAATTGTATAATAAAAACATTTGCTTATTATTAAATAAGAAAAGGTTTAATGTTGGAAAGGGAAGAATAAATTCTTTTGAGTCGGTGAAGGCAAATATCTGGGTCCAGCTCAGTCCAACCTTAAACAGAATGAATTGTATTTTATTGCAGCTGAGTCCTTGTACTGTAAGAACAACTCGTCATGTTGCATTATGTGCAGCTTTTTGTCTCCTCGAACCACATGCATTAAAAAAAACAGCATTTTAAGATCCAAAATTTCCAACATTTGTCAAAGTACCTTTTTTGTGAAAGGCAAATTTTACCTTGTGACACCTGAAAGGGATGCTTCTCTCCAAAGAAAAATGTGTTACTGATTTAGATCACGCGTTCTTGCGTTTCAGGTCCTCAACAGTCACTGGTGAGTAACGCTTAGTGAGCATTATATCACCGTGATAAAAATGGAAACATCTCATACTTCATACTGCATCATCTACACCCTGGGGTTTTGTTTTCTGGCCCTGCCAAGCTACTTTGTCTGGGTGTTAAAGCTACAGGAGTAATTTATTTATTTAATGCATAGATCTGTTTTGTCACAGAGGGCTGAAAGCTTCTGCTTGGGAGCGTGCAGCTTTGTACAGGTTATAGCCTTTACAAGATTAAAACAATCTTGGAAAGGCTGTAAGCCTTTACTAAGCTGCAGCCTTGTTTGTATTTTGCACATTTGATGTAAGAGGTAATGTGTGCAAATTTACTCTGGTAGAGGTGTAAATTATAGTGGAGCATGGCTGGCTGTATGGCAGGGTGCCTTCAGGTTCAGCTTGGCATTTTCAGCATCACGAAGCTGTCTCACCTGGATCGATCACCAGGGTAACCAAAGCTGGAAGCCCAGTTTAGTTTCCGGATCAGAGATGCACATCAGGTGATGAGTTCATGTGTCTTTTCACATTATTTCCTTACAAGACATAACTACGCCTTAAAAGTAAACTTTTTGTTTAGCTAATAAAGGCTAAAATGACTTAATTTGACATATGTATTGAAACTCTTGATCAGGTATTGATGCATTTAGATGATCTCTCTTTAAACCTGTCTGGTTTTATTGGGCAGCATTAAGGTGAAATGTGACCTTAGGGCTCCATAATCACACTTGGCGATGTAGAGAGCCTTAGATGGCTGTAAAGCCAAGACATTTGAAAAAAAATTAATCCATTTAATGCTTTGTGCTGGACTACGTTTGAAACAAGCACTTTTGGAAATTGAACACTTTGTCTTCTGGAAGAGTTGGCCTGTGTGTGTGCGTGTGTGTGTGTGTGTGTATGTGTGTGGAGGCAGCGGGTGATGATTGAACTGCTTTGAATAGAGTGAAAATGTCTCACACACACACATCGCACACTACTAATTTCTAACAGTGCATCTCAGTGCAGAGAGTTGTAAATGAGTCTTTTAATGACTCCACTGTCCAGGCCATGGATCATTGCTGGAGTCTTGAGAAATTATTAAAATGTGACTCACTCAAACATTATTTTACCTTCCAAAGAAAGGAAAACAGAGACAGAAAAACATGGATGTGCTGCAAGAGAGATTTGTTTATTTTAAGTCTTTCCTCAAATCTCTGTGGCTTTTTTTTTTTTTTTTTTTTTTTAATGATATTCTAAAATGTGGGCCACATTAAGCAGCTGCAGCGATTCAAACAAATTCAGCATCCCATTTAAAAATTATTGAAAAGAGATTTAGGCAAGATGTGGGGGAAGAAAATCAATTTGCAACAGTTATGAGTTATGAAAACAGATATTCACATCGATTGGCGCTCGCACTTATCTGCCTGTGTGCAAACAAACGGCCCATGGAAGAAGATGCAAATTACGTTAGCCTCAGTAGACTCGTGTGGAAAAGTCAGTTGCTTGGTCTATGTGCCTCGCAGGAGTTTGGTTTGGTTTGGAGCGATGTGCCGTGGCACTTTTACATGAACAGCAGCTATACAGAAAGAAAGGAGCAGTTCCAACAGCTTGCCATTTTTTATTTTGCTCAAATTTATTAACGTTTCTCTGCCTTGTATTAAAGTTGCCTGAGCTCGACCTCCAATAAAATGTGAATTTACACAGTGATGTGTAAACGTGGAAAAGAATTCCAAGTGTAGCTTGAATTTCTCCATTTATTGAATCACAAAGACCAATTGATTGAGTCTAGCAATTTAATATCTGGTTGAAATCATCCGTTTAGGTTGGAGTCGCCAACAAGAACCCTGACCATGGAGGCTCCGAGAGGCGTGGAAGTGAATGCTGCCGCCGGGACGCTGAAGATCAGCAGCAGAAAGGATCTGCAGCTGGAAGCCACAGAGGGAGAGGTGAGAGCATCTCGAGCTACAATCCTCTTTGGTTTTCTGTTTTATTTGGATCGTCTTTCTCTGTGGTTAGCATGTCGGGAGCATATCGTCTTCTCCAGGTAAGACGGTATGCTCTTACCTGGGGACTGCTGGAAGAAGTCGAATGCTTTTCCCAAGATCTTTATGCATGGTTAAATGGAGAAATAAATAAATCAGAATCAGCTTTATTTGCTAAGTTTGAGCACACTAAGAATTTGAATAGAAATATAATTGTATAGATTTGGTGGAACATAAAGACTTCTTTAAGGTTTGTCGTAGAAAATGTTTCTGAATTTTTCTAATTCAGAAAAGTTATAATCTTTAAAAATAAATAATCTTAACGTAACTGGAAATTATAATTATAACTTTTCCATTTATTATAAGTTTATAATAAATACTTAATTTTTTGGTTCATTGTCTTGTCTGTCCATTCTTACTCAGTCATTTTTGACCATCTGTCCATCAAGTCATTCATCTGTCTGTCTTCAGATGGTTCTTTGTTCTTCTGTCCTCTAAATGTTCGTCCATCCAAACACCTTTTCTCGTAGTCTGGTGTATACAGGTTCCACATACAAGGCCTGACTCCTCTAAAGAATATGAAAGTTAATTTTTACTGTTTTGTTTCATTCGTGGGGCTCAAGTACACAGAATTTTGAGCCCCACTAATTTTGAAATTTGTGTTTGGCGGAAAATGAAGTGCACCGTAGGGATTGTTGGGATTTGCAGATGCTCAGTGGTGGACAAGTGTCTCAGCTTAACTTTTCAATTTGCTCAGTTTGGTAATTCACAGGCTGATTGTTGCATCTGGTACCGAAACATAGAAGTCAGAACTTTTCTGTATTCTTTAAAAAGAAAATTCCTTTATTTTTGTGAGGAAGCAGAATAAGTGATTAAAGAAACAATTGTGAATGTTTACTTTCAGTGACAATCAGCTAAGATAAAACTCAGAATAATGGCTGCTGCAAATGGTTACGTGTAAAAGTAAAGACTTGCTTCCTGCTTCCTCATCAGAGCGGTGCTGCTGTCTTTCACATTCAGTTTGCCCTGACAGGTATTGAAGAATCGGTTTCCGGTGGTTGTACATCACATCAGGCCACGTCGACTGATTTGTTTGACTTCCAGTGCTTCTGACGTTTTTCTCCTGCAGATTCTCCTTGATGCCGACAGCATTCGGCTGGAAAACCTCCCGCTCGGCCTCTACGCCGCGTCCGCCGGCGAGCCCTTCAGGAGGCAAGCCGTGTACGAGGTGTGCGTCTGCCCCAGCGGCAAAATCTACCTTTCTCCAGCTGAGAGCGTTTCCACCTGCCAGGCCATGAGCAGCATCTGCCTTTGGAGCTGACCTTAGCGCAGCATGTCGTGACGAAGAGCAAAACCCCGAGTATCGGCTCTGCGATCTGAGATTACTGGAGTGGAGATGGAAAGCTTCAAGCTCTGAGCTGTCAGTGCTCATAGCAGGACAGAAGTGTTCAAACCGCTGCCTGCAGAGGACCGACGGAGGCTCACACTTCACTGACTGACAGAGGAAGAAAGTCAAAGAAGTTCTCTGAAACCTGGAATATGTACAGATCAGTTCTCAATCAAATCACAGACAGAGGATACAACTTTTATTTTTCTACTTTTAGGTTTATGAACATTGTTTTAAATTTGAAAGAGAAAATAAACAACAAGGTGCCTTCAGTTTTAAATGGCGTCACGTTGAAACTGTCTTGTCAATTAGACACAAAGGTATTAAAAAATAAAGCAAGCACAAATGAAAACTTTGTCTAATCCAAATATATGCTTCAGCAAAGTTGGAGATGCTTGGAATCAAATTGAAGCAGGTTTGTTGAATTTATTAGCAGAAGCTCATGTCAGATACGGACGGCTTTGAAGATGCAGATGAAAGATGTTTTCCCAAATCAAAGGTAAATATTTATCCTGTCCTTTGCTTCATTTATGCCATACCATGTTTGAGAAAATAGTCAGTTTAATTTTTTCTATCTTTCTGTCATAGCTTGTGCTCCTTCACACAGGTTATGTAAAGAAGCACATCAAATTAAACAGCTCTGTGAGAAGTACAGAGCTGTTAGAGGTGCAGCTCCAGCCACAAATTTACATTCACTTGTTGAATAATTACATAGGGTAATGTTATTTTTGCTATTTATTTGAATGGTATTCATTATTCCAGTATTTTTTAAACTTGAATTGTGACAGTGAAGGTCAGTAAACCCCAGAAACTTCATGTTTACTTGCTTTCCCAATTTCAAATGTAGTTTTAATGCTGGTGCTGGAGGTAACCCTCCATTATTTCATCCATTGTTTTAGAAATGCACCAACATCAGTGGCAGTGAAACACTCAGCATGATGCTGCCACCACCATGCTTTACAGTTGATGTCTATTAAGATTAGAAAGCCTCTCATTGTCTCCTCCAAACATTTGTCTTCTCAATCTTCGGTCTGATAACATCATAAAACTTTTCTCCAGACGGAATTTGATTCAGTCAATTCCAACTTCTGCAACCACTTTCCGATTTTCAAATTAATTGATGTGTAATGATTCCAACCAGAAAACTGGAAATGTCTAAAATATTCCAGCTTGGTGTTCTAAATCTGTTTACTTGCACTTCTGTTTACTCTCCTGCTGGCTTTCATGTTAGAGCTGTGACAGCGTGCTAACGGCATCTCTCTCCAAGGTTTCCTGAAGGCTGTCCAGCCTGGGCTCCCCGGCCGAGAGCGAGGCAGGCGGCCGTGTTTCATCTGACCTGATGCCGACACTTACTCCCTCAAGGCTTCCAGAGATGAGGTTGTCTGGTAAGAGTGCCATCACCTTATCTTAAGGGTATATTTCAGACATGCAGCTGAGTGTTTATCGTTGCCCTGAAGGACAATTTAAAGGGCAAACATTGTGTTTTTTAGAGCCAAAATGTATGCGAAATATCAAAAAGCATGAAACGTAAATAAAACACATTTGGTATTTTTTGATTTTCGAAGAAGTAAATCAGTTTCTTTTCATAAAGAGTCTTTTTTTTGTTTGTTTTTTGTTTTATTTTCTTCTACAATGGAAAGGCATTCCCAAATATGAATGATGACGTAACATGCAGCAGCAGAGCGAGACCGGCAGTAGATTTAAGGTGAAAACCGATTAATTTCTTGGCACGAAGAGCCTTTTTATGTTTAATTTGCATCTTCTGGTTTTTCTAACTGAATGACACAACATGTATATCACTATATCTGCAGAGAATTATGCATCTCGATCTCAAACATAGTAGACGACAAGAAAAAATTCAGCAAAACACATCCATCAAAGACTCTGTAATGTCAGCAATGACAACCTGATTGGCTGAATTGTGTTTTAAGATCATAAATTGTCCCCATAATGTCAGGTTACACTATAGACTTCCTGTGAGTTGCGCTGATTGTAGCTAAAATCCTCCTATGAAGGATTTCTGTTGATGAATCCAGGGACCTCCAAGGCCTGATAGGTGGGTGATAGCGGTGCAGCTGACCCCAGGTGGCTTTTCACATGAACACATGCAGAAAGCAGGTGGAAATCAGAGGGAGCCGTTGCCAAAATTGCCTCCAGATAACATCTGAGCTGAAGCTGATGCTGGCAATGGGGTTGAATAATGATTTTATCTATGTGGGAGCTGAAAGTCTCTGCTGGAAACACTGGAAAAACTCAGACAAATGTCTTTCAACATTAATTGATGATTAACAGTACATTACTAAATTCTTTCCGCATTAAATACTTTTGTTTTGTGTTCTTCTTGCTGCAACAAACTGAGTCACACCTTATGAATACGCATGCCTCCATCGTTTCAGTGCTGGTTCTCGTGAAACTCGTATCAAATCCACTCAGATCACCAAATATATTGCAGCTGATTGGGAATGGAGTCTTTTCTCTGAGGAGCTCAGTCCAATCTGAGTTTAGAGAGAGCCACAAGTTCAAAGTACCAAGTGAAGATTTTCCAAATGATGTGCTCAGGCTGCTTACAGTCTCGAAGTTTGGGTTTGTTTGAACTATTTTCACTAGTTGGATATATACCAGACTCCCTGCTCTGTGTAGAAAGACCAAGAATTCAATTTAAGTATTTAGGGGCTCGGAAATTATTTTTGTATTTTCAGACCCATTTCCATTCTTTAAATATTGTCGCTGACAGCCAGCAGTCAGATCGTCTTCCCATCCATCCAGCCAGTCCACCTGCTTTCCAGATACTTTGGGCTAAAGTCCAGAAGCTGTAAGCTGGGATTTTTCTCTGTCATACTGTCAATTAAACTTGACCACAGGAAAAACATTTAAAGAAAACTGCTACAAGAATTTAAATTATGCTTCAAAAATCATCTTTAACATGGTTATTCAAGAGTTTGGCTTTTGAAATTTATGAAACGTTAAAATGCGAAAAATGTTGGAACCATGCTAGATGTTTGTTAAATTGAATTTAATGTTTAACTCCACCTGCAACTTTAATGTAGAAATCAATTAGTTTTAACTTATATATTCCTGTTATTGAATGCAGCACTGACTCTGTCAAATTTGTGTCTCACAGGATTCAAATCTTTCATCTTTGGCTAAAGGTTGAGTTGTGCTCGACAAAATGCATCAGCCAAAGCTTTCTATATGTTATCTGTATGTTAAAAATGGCTCATAAATACAGTCACTGTCTAACAAAATATCCTGAATCCAGAAATATTTATCCCTAGTGTGGAAAAAGAGAGGAGAACCGAACAATCTGAGGAGCAGCCACCGTAAAGTAATTACCAGAACAGTTTCTAGTTAACCTCCTGTCAGCTGACTAATTGGACATTTAAGACGAGTCCCTGTTGCCCCATATTAAACAGCCATAATGGAGTAAAAGCAGAGCTTTATTGGACAAAAACTGAAAAATTGTTCTAATAAAATGTCTGAACGTAACTGTACAAGCCAGGTGGAATGAGTTTTCATTACTCAGAAAGTAATGTGAATCAATACCATCTACCATCACACACTAAACAGTCTAGTGAGTTTTAATTTTCTAAATGTAAAGCAAAAAAAAAAAAAAGATTTTGGGAAAGACGTTTTAACACATCGCCTTCCAGTAAAGCACCGAGTTTCTGGGTTCATTACGGTTTCAGAAGAGTGGGAGGAAAAAAATGCAGCCTTCTCCTCTTTTTTATTATGTTTTACGATCTCCCGTGATGCAGACGTGTTGCTCACTCAGTGGAGATGCAGACAGGACTTCACCTGCCATATGCCGGGGCATTAGGAGCCGTGTGCTCAGCCACAGGCAGTCTGAACAGAAGTGGCCTGAGGAGAGAGTTTAATTGCCAGGGTTAGAGACAAATTTTATCATAACATGCTGCTGCACGGTCACAGCTGGATGCGCATTACACATTCCCTCTTTCTAATTAAGCACCGAATTACTGTTAAAACTCCAAATTGGGTTCTCAACAACCGCTCTTGTCAGCTCCCCATGACATATTTTTCAAAGCATGCAATCGTGATAAGAACGTCCTCTTGAAGTTTTTGGGGCTTTCCGCATCAAGACAGTAAAAATGGTCTGATCTAAAGTTATTTACACGTAACCTCCAGTGCACAGAGCCGCAGCAGATTCCCTGCTGTCATTATTAGAGAGAGCTGAAACCAAAGGGGAGAGTTTGTGCAAAGCCAAGCACAATCCCCCGATTTATTAACTTATAGAAGCACCTTTTAACACCAATAACTTAAATGACTTTGTAATAATTTCAGTTTCTCATATCAGTTTTAATTTATTATTCTTTAAACAATGTTGCTTCAGGTCAATATGTTTCTCAGACTTTTGTCTCCTCAGCAGTTAGTCTGGACTTGTTGCAGCTCCGTGACGCTTTAGTTTTTCAGACGTTCTGTTGTGTTTGGGATGACAGATGATCTCACATTTTCACTCCGAGTGTAAACTTGGGTTCGCAGAGCAGTTCACAAATCATCCAATGATTAGAAGGTGCCTGGTAAAAAGCCCATATCATCAACCTCTTGCTATATCTCATGTGTGCCTCTATGTGTGAGATATTTATGCTGATCTGCTTTTCATTTGTTTTGGTCTCATCTAAGACGACACTGGAGGTTTTGTGGATCGCTCACCTTTGCCATATACTTGGCAGCCCTCCTCTCAAAAAGCCGCCCGACTTTGGTCTTTCTCTAATCGGATCTTCTTGAACAGCAACATTCACGGTGGTAACAAAGGTCTGCAGAATCTGACATGGAGCTTATCTTGTTTTTTTATACACTTCTCTGAGCATTTCACACTCTGACCTTGAGTGTCCCAGGACTTCTGTTCCTGGGAAGACTGCCAGCTGTCATAAATGTTTCCACTTGTAAATAACCTTCCTAAGGTTTAAGGTCCTCTTCTCCTGACCCGTCTCAGGTCATTGCTGATGTCTTTCCGTCTTGGCAGCATGTTAACCCAAACCTGTATCCTCAAGATCTGAAAACTCTTGAGCTTTCAGATCTAATTTTGACAATTAAACCCCTGTGAAGCAGCAAAGTGAATGTAATATTTCCACACACAACTTTTTTTTTTATTAGGGCTTCATTTTTCAATCTGTTTTTGTAGGCTCAAGCCTGGATGAAAGTAATTTTAAAACCTGGTAAAGATTAGGTCATTTTTATTAATTGCTTGTAAATAAAATCCCAGGCCTTGAAATGTTTTTTTTTATTTGTTTTTTTTTTTTTTTTTTTTTTTTTTTTGCATGTTATGGTTTGGGTCTGCAGCAGAAATGGCCCCCAATAAAACCAAGCCTCATTATC